AAGAAGGCAATGGCAAGCCACTTCTGGATCATCTGCCAAGAACTTATATGAACAGGTCCCAGTCCGAGAAAAGGATGGAAGGATCTTGTTCATATGGACCTGTCGTCAGACAGAACACTAAATAATAATAAGATGAGGTGGTCTAGGCAACACGGAGTTTTCGTCCGTGGCATCCCAACAATTACTCCATTTACACACAGAAGAAGGCAATGGCAAACCCCTTCTGGATCATCTGCCAAGAACGTATATGAACAGGTCCCAGTCCGAGAAAAGGATGGAAGGATCCTGTTCATATGGACCTGTCGTCAGACAGAACACTAAATAAAATAAAATATAGATGTGCAGAATCTCTATAAGAAACTATAGGACATAGAGCCACCTAAGAGTTTCCCGTGGTTACAGAGTAGTTTAGTTAAATGCTTTTAACTTTCCTTAGACATTATATTTATTATTCTCTGTCAACGATGGTATTCCTTTTTTTTTTACCGAAGATTAAAATGTAGGAAGATGTCATTTTACGTGTGTGACACTTGCTATCCAACGCTGAAGGAATAGCACGGCCTGTGGCTGTGTGAGATCTGAGTGAAAAGGAAATTTTTTAATGAACTTCGTTTGTAATCTGCACCAAACATTTGACGGTGATCAGAATATGGGGAATAAACCTGCCTGGGTGTTTAATATACCTGGGGCGGTTGAGAAATTCGTACAAAATTGTACTCGGAAAACTTGAAGGATCTAAAAGCAGATAAAACGATAATATTAAAATGTGTTTTAAATAAATAAAGTGTAAGAGTATTTACCTGTTTCAATATAGGGTGAAGTGTGTGCTTTTAATGAACATAATAATCCATCTTCTGGTTTAATAAAAGACCTAGATTTTTGACTGGCCTGTCGGCAATGCGTAAATGAATTTTCCTATCGATTTAGTTCGTCTCTGCGTACAGTGTCTGCAGCCTCGCCGTGCACACACGGCAACTTCTCCTACACGTCTATAAAGCGGGCAATCATTTTCATAGCGTTTCTAGGCGTTTTCAGGTTATGATCCCGTATCTCTTGTACGTCGCTCTGGATTTATAAAATCAAAGTTTAATGTGGGCTGTGTATTAAACTTCGCTTTGTCCTTGTTCCTACATACACATCTTGTACGTAGTAAAGTGTTCAGTCCTATGATGTATACGCAGGTGTTAAAGTGGAAACACGAATTAAAAGATATCGGAAAGGGTGACGTAACTAACTAACTAACTAACTAACTAGATGGCTTACCGAACCCGAAGGTTCATCACCGAATTAACCAAAGCCCTCCACCGGACCAACAAAATCCAGTCTCCTTCAACTCCTATCTCCCATAGATCCCGCCTGAGATTATCCTCCCATCTACGTCTAGGTCTCCCCAGCGGTCTCTTCCTTTCAGGTTTCCCAACCAATACCCGGTGCACACCTCTTGTCCCATCCATGCGCGCTACATGTCCCGCCCATCTCATTCTTCTCGACTTAATCACCCTCACAATACTGGGGGAGGAGTACAGATTTTTAAGCTCGTCATTGTGCAGTTTTCTCCACGCCCCATCGTCTTCCCTCTTAGGCCCAAATATCCTCCTCAACACCCGATTCTCAAACACCTGCAATCTGTGTTCCTCCCTCTGAGTGAGAGACCATGTTTCGCACCCATACAAAACAACAGGCAAAATTATTGTTTTGTATACTTTAATTTTCAGGTTCTTAGAAATCAAACGGGAAAACAAAATATCTTGGACTGAGAAGTAGCAAGCATTTCCGGAATTTAGTCTCCTCATAGAATGTTTACTAAACAAATATTCTAAAATTTTCCCCGCAGGGAAATGTATCTAAATTAAAAATTATTTTTTCTGGTTTATCAGCAGGGACGACATAATCTTTGAGACCGTTTATACAAGTAATGCAATGAGGTAGGTGAAAATGTTGTTGTTTTCTGGGCTGTGAAACCATGTGGTCTCCTTCTGTAGGAATATTGGTAGCCACCTACAGTACTACACGGCGTCACAATCCAAAAGACCATAATACCTTAGTTAATATAATGATATGTACAACTTATTTTAAAGTCAATTTTTGACGCACGCTTCGTAATACCCACACCAATGGCTTCATTAATAAAGACTTAGTTTGCAAATTGATTTTAAAGACGTAAATATGTGTATCTATATTTTGTAATATTTACCACAGCCAAGTGAGAAACTTAATGAAACTAAACTTAAGCTAAATTTACTGACTTTTAAAGCGTCTGTTTCGAAATCCAGGTAAAAAAATGAAAAGCGTTTAAGGTGGAACAAGAATACATTGAATCGATCAGGAAACAATGTCAGTAACCCTCTCTTTCAACATCTTAAACGCGCTGTCTCACTGCAAATGGTTCTGTAAAAGAATGGAAGTGACTTCCACAAGTCTTGGGTATAGAATCCACAGTAAAGAGTCATTGTACTTCCTATTCTGATAAATCTTCGACTTTATATCCATAAGTCTCCAGTTCTGAAACAAACATTAACACACATTTACTGATGTTATAGAAAACGAAGGCTACTACGAACTGATTGACTTGGAATAAAGTTTCGTTGTTTTCGATGTTTTGTGAGTGAGCGACACTGTATACTCACCAACAAACTTGTCCTCGTTCGCCAGAAGCGACAATCTCCATCCCTTGTTGTCGAAACTAGGCTTCCTGCCTCCATATTCTGCCGGCAGGATTTCTGGGCTGATGAACGCGTGCAGAGAGATTAAGTCTCTACCGTGCAAGTAGATCTGCAGATAAACATTCCATGGGCAGATTGAAAATGCTGATAATGCACGTTAATTCCAAACGAGAATATATAAATAATATTTATCCGATTCACACATCTAATAACAAGGTAAAAATAAAGCAGTCAGTAAGTATGAAGTTTTCAAAAGCTCTATCAGACTTGAGAAGAAATTAGTTATAAATTAAAGTAAAGAAAATTAACTACATATTGAGTCTATCGCCAGAATGCAGGACAAAATTGCACTTTAAAATATAACTAAAATATGAAACTATAATTTTATAATGAGATTTCACGCCGTGTAGTCTGGTAGAAACTGACCGACGTTTCAGAGGTGCTTACTGGCCCCATCAACAGGACCCTGATAACGGAGACACGATATTCATGTCTATAATTTTAACGTTTCATATGGGTGTGAAGCTTCGTCTCTCCAAATGCTGTTGGAGTCATCAAATCATTGAGGATGAGATGACAGGATATGTATCCTGCGGTGACGTAACTTAACTAAATTATTGTGGTCCGCAGAAAATGCGAAAATCGAACCGACATGTGAGCACATGTTTCAGGGAGACATGGCTGTATCATCCGATGGCTCTGGCGTGCAGACGCCCATGTAATGGATGCTGCCTCCAGCATAGACGCCTCCTACACGGAATGCGGGAGGGTGAAATCGGCATGGCCGTCGAGCTGGACTCCGAAGAAGCACAGGGTCTTCTGGCCCCCCCTTCCAGCCTTCCTCTTATCCGCCCCAGTGAGTAAGAACAGACTTTATCGAGAGCTTGTGTCTTGACCGTGTTCCTTACGCGAAGTTTTTTTTTATGAGAGAGGAAATAGGAGGATATATAGAAAATTGCGTAATGATGAATTTAGTATGTACAACCTCGGCTTTCGTGGCAGATGGCAACTGCAATATTTCTATAAGCGTTTTATAATTTTCAGGATTCGACACAGCTCATCCGCGAAAAGTTTAACTCCAGCCGAGAAAACTGAAGGACGAGTAATTTCATAATTTGAAGTCTTCACTGGGCATTATCAGGGTGGCAAAATTGATAAGAATCAAACATGCGGTGTGATAAATTCACGCATTTTAGCTAGAAAACCATTAAAATTGGTGTTAAATAGACGGCGAAGTTTCAGGGTTGTTTGAAATGATAAATGTTATTGGCAGTTTACAATCCTTTGAAATGACGTCTCTTTTTAAATGATTTATCCAGTACGTTCATTCGAATCTGTCCGTCCTCCAATTTGATTATTAAACTCTTTTTACAGGTGTATGAAGTCCAGTGATATTATCTGTAGCCACTGTTCATACTGGCCTTCGAAATCTTTACGTGTGTTGCTTTAAAGTTGACTGTCTTACTGAATTACTCGGTTAATAACGTGAGTGGATTATTAGAAATATGAAGTCGTAATATAATTACATTCACTTAGATAATTTTGGTTCGGGTCATCTTACGGGCAATAGAAACTTAATCTTATAAAAATAGACAAGACTATTTCTGAAATTGAAGGGAATATGGAAAAGACGAACAGAGAAAAATACTTAATAAATGCAATGTTTGACCTGACTTCGGATTGTCTCTGATGTGAGTAACCAAAAAGGGTTGCGTTGTCATATTATTTTCAGAAATAACGTATTATAGCATTATTCAGCTGAAGAGTTATTATACACGTAGGTTATCTTTAACCAAATGAGGGACGAGGTCTGTTCGGAAGGAGGTTTAATAAAGTAATTCACAGTAAGGAGAGACAGAAATCATTTATACTGACCCCATGTTTTCCTGACAGTCGGTAGACCTTGAAGCGTCTGGACACACCTAGTGGCGCCTCCCAAGATAACTTACGCGTATTAACCGTTCTTCTGGCAGGTCCCTCCGCAACGAGAGGTCGTCAACATCTGAATGTTACAATATTGGAATTGTCTTCGGGTCCCGCCACAGGGGGCTGCGGTCTGGATAGTGACCCAGACAAGCTGTCCTTCCTTTCGAATGTGTCCACAGGGGGCTTGGAGCCCCCTATCGTCATGACACCGAGCGGCATCTCTCCAGAGCGACGAGAGAGTAATAATAGCACACGAAGTTCACGCAGTTTCGCCGGTGGGGGTGTCGGCCAGCAACAGCAGGGCAGAGGGAGTGGCAGTGACGTGTTGGCAGACAACAACAGCGACACCTATGGCCCCGGAGGTGAGTTACGTGGCTACAACAAGCTCCGAAAGTGTGTTCCGGTACACACGATACTCTCATGTGCTCTGCGTTTCGAGGTATTAAATCAGTCTTGTTCGATAGTTCCCACTTCGGCAACCAGATCGCAGGGTCGACGTTTCTCATCCGTCATTTTATAACCGCTCGTAGGATATTTAGAAGTACGATTTTGAGGTCCAATAACACAGCTTCCGCATAAAATTTTATCCAAATCCGTTTATTTATTCTCCGGTTGAATCACTTCAAATCTCGCTACCTCCTTTGTACGTGTGTACATACGTAAATATGTGTTTGTTTTTCTCATACCAGGTGACCGCGTTTGACAACTGTCTATCAAAATTGTAAAAGAATAATATCAGGCCGTAGCAGATGTTGCCATACGTCTCTGTCGGATTCGTATTGTCAGGGACCCCCGGGTTGTGCTGGATGGAAAATAGGTGGGTTGGTTTATTTGCTTGGCGCTTTGATGCTAATGTATACAGTGACGAATGATATCGTGTTTATTTATAGTGGGCGACCGAGAACATGGGTTAAGAAGAAAATCGGTTATTCAACGTGGCTTTAAGTCATTTGACCAAAGATAATGCGATCGTCCGGTTTTGAAATTCTGGAAATAAGCGTTGAGATAATCTTTTATGTAAAAAGAGATCGCTAAAGAATAAGTCAAGGTCTTTTAATGCCAGTATTGTTGCGTTTACAAGCCACGGTGGTCTAGCGGTTAGAACGCTGGCCTTGTAATCCTGGGGTCTAGGGTTCGATTCCCGGCGGTGCCCGAATTTATAACTTGTGTTGGGCAAGGCCGTGGTCTAGGCAACACGGAGTTTTCCTCCGTGGCATCCCAACAATTACCCCATTCACACACAGAAGAAGGCAATGGCAAACCACTGCTGGATCATCTGCCAAGAACGTATATGAACAGGGCCCAGTCCGAGAAAACGTGGTCTAGGCAACACGGAGTTTTCCTCCGGGGGCTTCCCCGGTTTCTCCGTGGCATCGCAACAATTACTCCATTCACACAAATTATTTCTTCAAGATCCATTATAATATTATCCTTCCATCTACACCAACAGCTTCTAAGCGGTTCTTACCACGTGCTTGGGCGATGGAAGGCTTCTCAGTTTACTTTGAATGACGACGTGTATTATGCTCGCCGTCCTTCCAAGCAAATGCCGGGTTTGTAACGTAAAAATGCCACGACAGTTCCTTCTACGTCCCTTCCTATTCATTATCACTATCAACCTCTCATTCGACGCTAGTCTGAGCTACTGAAAAATGTCGTTAAATAAATTCAGATATAATGCCATCTGTGAATCCTTTCCGTATTAATACGTGTAGTGTCAACGTTACTCACGAGATGACGCGACGGTAAGGTCGACGTTACTAGCGCGCAGTCGTCTCCGATTAAGCTAGGGGCTTGGTTGCTTTGTACTTTGAAAACTGTGAACGAGATGGTAGCGTGGTAAAATAGGAAAGATTTTTGATTGACATACATGTAACTTTTATGAACATTGACCAAATTCAGTGAGTTCGTTTGTGTTTTGTGGTGGTTATTATTTACCTATTGTCAGTTAAGCGCGTATCTTGCATCCGTTTATGTGGATCTAAAATGATTTTTATTCATTGTTGGCGTATTAAAATTTTATCGTGGCATGCTGAAGTTTCGTTTCGTCAAACGAGTTTTCTAACATTGTGTTTATACAGTTTTTTGTCTCACTTCGTAAGTGTGGCCAGGTGTTAATGACTGGATTTCAGGGCTGCCACACACTGTAACTTCCAGCACGGTCAAGCTTGTACATATGAAATCAGATTTGTGCGGTTGAGATGTATTCTTTATTCGTACATTTATTTATTTCGTGTTGTATGACGTAGCTGGGTAAAATTGTAACTCGTGTTGTTGAATTTATTCCTGGGTTGATTTTAAATTTAGCGCTATTAGGTGTGGTCATATTGGTACTCAACTTCAGCTAAAGATGGCGTCTGTGGTAACGTGACTCGCGATGTTTGTGTCCAAAAGTATCGGTGTTTCTCCTACGGTTTAAACGTCACAATTAATCAACATTGGCAGCCCAAGATTTGTGATCAGTTAATTGAAACATATCCAGTGAAGATTTTGGAAATAAGTTGTAAATAGCTTCGATAAATATTTATGTATTTAGATAATGGTTTGGAAAATAAGTGTAGCCAACTTTGGAGTAAATGAGAAACCAGGTTTGTGTGTGAACTCTGTATTTGTCTTTGTCAGTTCACACGTTCACTTCCTAATGCTCGAACTAGTGCTTTCGGAATTTATTCTGAATAAATTTTTACTGTATTTTTAACTTGGTTATTTGAATATATTTTTTCTTTGTTACGAACGTGCTGCTTTTACAGTGTTACGTCTCTGTTCCTTTGTTTAGCTTGTCTCTGCCTAATATGTTATTGAACATGATAAAACTACGTATTATGTAATCTGTATTGGTCAACACATGAATATTATTTCATGAAAATAATGCAATTTCCCCGTTTCTTTATACTGCAAACATTACAGAGGCAGTGTGCTAATGTGTTAAACCGATTTGTATTTATAGTGTGTAATTTGAGGCCAGTATCCTCTAAGGGCTTTAGAAAAAAAAATTTAATTCGACAAACAAAGAATTTTCAAGTCTTGTTAAACATTTGACTTTAATTATACTCTCTAGTTTGCTTTGCTGCTAATGTTTTGCTACCTCTGAAACGTCGGTAAATTTATACCGGACTACACCACATAATCCATAAAAGAGCCTTCTTCAACGTAAATGTTAATTATAAATAAGATAATTTATGAAATTTGTCCAGTTTTCTAAGTCATTCGTTCTCGAACATTTCTAAGCACTCAACAGGTGACCGACCAGTGTTTGTTCAGTCGGGCACTGTCTGTTGCCACAGCTGGTCTTAGGAACAGCCGTCCTTGAGTAAACAAAGTACCAGTTGTCTCTTGTTGCGACACGCGACGGTCTCTCAGCGGTTTCTTGTTGCAACACTTCGCTACTTCTCATTTCTTTACCTTTTAAACTTATGAAGAGTTAAACTTCTCGGCCTGTGAAGTGTTCTCCGTGTTTGATAAGTCAAGGAGCTGGAGTCAGACGTCTGTCGATGGCCTTCGAAATGAAGAGGTGCTTCAAATGATGTTGCATCTACTGAGACGGGTGTAGTATTGCAGGTGCTAACGTTTTTGAGTAGTCAGTATTTTCCAGTAGTGTGAGACTAACATTTTGATACTTTATATCAACGAAATGTCGAAGAAACTGAAGACTGTTATTGACTTTTGTTTAATTTCTTGATGGTTTTACCCACCCTTGAATTTTTCACCGCACTTGTAATTACAGTGTGCTGCAATATCGACCCTAAGCGTCTTCCTTTACGATTCTGAATTGGTTCGCGTCGACGTTATTTATAATTGTAGTTTGTCACTTTATTTTATCGTAAGTGGGAGTCGTGTCGATGAGAATGGCGTATTCTACGGACTGTGTCATACGACAACGACAAAGAATATGAATGTCTGTTTCATCGCGAAAATAAGAAGAAGTCTCCTGATCAAACGACAGTAACCGCCTCGAAGAAGGACCTTCTCCAAATAGTTGGGTCTCCCACGGAAATCGTAAACATCGTAAGGGGTGAAATTCTCGCGGTGCATAAATGTTTCGCTTTGTCGCGACTCCGAACGTATTCAAATCACTTGTTACTAGAAGCTGTTTTGAAGTCTGAAGTCTCTCCGACCTTGTTCTACATGACAGTAATACAGAGTACGGCTACTTTGGAATAAGTCGATGTTGGTCTTCTGGGTTGTAACACCATGCAAGCGAAAATAGCCTTCCACCACTCCCGATAATTGTCTTTGCATTAATGGCGTTAAAAACTCCTCTCTCTCTCTCTTTTAGTGTTCTGTCTGACGACAGGTCCATATGAACAGGATCCTTCCATCCTTTTCTCGGACTGGGACCTGTTCATATACGTTCTTGGCAGATGATCCAGAAGTGGGTTGCCATTGCCTTCTTCTGTGTGTGAATGAAGTAATTGTTGGGATGCCACGGAGAAAAACTCCGTGTTGCCTAGACCACGGACTTGCCCAACACAAGTTATAAATTCGAACCCGAGACCCCAGGATTACAAGGCCAGCGTTCTAACCGCTAGACCACCGTGGCAGGTGCCAGGTAATACGAGGTTAAATATACAAAACGCAGCATTGTCATTTATAAACTGCATGAGACAGAGGAAAATGCCCTCAAACACTGGCTTGTGTTTCGCGAACAGGTTTGGATCCAAGGACCTTGTTGCAAGAGAGATGTAACTGGGAGACGCGATATCTTATGAAGGAGCACCGTCGTGCTGGTAAGGCTACATTCCAGGGGCAAGTGTACAACTTCCTGGAACGTCCTACAGGATGGAAGTGCTTCACGTACCACATCTCTGTGTGAGTACCAAGTCTTGCCAACTCTGACGTGTTATCTGGGGATGTGAAACGATATGAAGACTGGACAAATTCTGATTATGCTGTTTGGTAGAATTCCGTTCACCTTACTTTTTCCTGATAATTTAACTGCTCAAAGGCAAATGTATTTATTTATATCGTTTGACGTTCTTGGGATAACTTATTGGATTAGACCAGTGGTATTCAACCTTTGTGTATTTCTCTCAGATAACAGAAGTGTAATGCTACGTGAAGGAATTGAAAACATTTCAGTATGAAGCTAAAAGAAGTTAGAATTGATTAATTATTTACCTTAATATTCGGCTCTAATGGAACAAATATAACAATTTTCAAATGTATTTATTTATATCGTTTGACGTTCTTGGGATAACTTATTGGATTAGACCAGTGGTATTCAACCTTTTTTGTTCGCGTACCCCCAGATATAATTTCTCTTCAACTTTGTACCCGCAAAGTTGTTGGTGTATAATTCAAGTTATACATAGTATATAATCTACATCTAAAATCAATTAAATAAATTACATTACTCATTATTCAGTGTTTATCATAAAATAATATTTTTTTAAAATTTCACGTACCCCCTAAGATGTCTTCGCGTACCCCAGGTTGAATACCACTGCTTTAGAACATCGTACATTATCTACTTGAAGGTGAAAGGTTTTAACGCATGCATACAATTTTTTTCTCTATCTAGAGATAACGTTCTTAAAATTTGTGTTTATTGTATTTGTACCATTTCAGGTCTTTAAGAATAAAATTTCTCTGTCGGTTCGATTGTCAGCGGAGTATTTGTCTTTAAGTATATTATCCTCATTTCGTAACCGCATGACTCGTGATGAAATCGAAATGTAGTAAAATAAGTGTTTACAATTATAATAAAGACAAATTGTGTTTACCGTTTCCTATAAATACGTTATGTATAGGATATTAAGTACATTTTCCGTATATACACAGGCTTATGTATTACCCACTTATCCATATTTATTATATGTATTTTACGTAGAAAAATCTAAAAACTGTATTTAACGTACGTATCGTTGACTTTAAAGTAACTGAAAATTTAATTAATTAATTAACCTTACAAGAACTGGATTATCTGATTGGTAAACCTAAGCGTAGACAGCTCAAGGTTAATGCACAAACATTTCCACCAGCTTGATAATTTGAAAACCTGTACAATTTTCAATATTTTCAATTTCACTTCTCAGTTTATATCTTCCCAGATTCTGGTTTGTTTTTCCCAGGGGAAGAATTGTTTCCTACCTCGTATCTTTACGAAGAACCAAAGCGTCCTTACCTGAAACTGTTGATTGACATTTTCTTAGCGTGTTAATTCATTTTTATATTGTATGTTTCTGGGATAATATTAAAATGAATCTTAAAGATGTAGTATGGAAATATTTACTGTATTCGTCTTTCTTTGGTCGGTGATCAGTAGCGGGCTCTCGCGAACGCATAATAAACCTCTGAGTTCCATAAAAGACTGGAAATTTCTTGGGTGGATCAACGACTATCAGTTTTTGCAAGGACGCGGAGTTGGTTTCATAGTTTGGAAAACAATATTATAGGACTTTCGAGTCTCCGACAGACTCTGGTGAACGTAGATGATGGGTAAAAAAGATTTCAAAAGAAACATTAAAATAGTCTACTGAAGAACGCTGAGATAAGTTTCTCTGCCTCCAGACGTTCATGTTTTGTCTCGTGATGTTACCAGCATCATTCTGTTCCTCTCGCTGCAGTTGAGGCCTGTTCAGTCGCCCATTTTGTTTTTCGAGACTTCTCTCCCGGCGTTATTATCGTCTCCAGAGATAACAAGTCATTTTGCCTGAGGACTCATTTACCATATATTTTCGCCATTTCATCAGCTACTGTCGTTCTTAGCAACAGCCTGCAATTTCAAGCTGCCAGACACTGGTTACGTCTTATAATATTTATGCAAGTGTGACTTAAAGTTGTAGTTTTCTAATGAAACAGTGGATGATAGAAAAAAAAAACTTTGGGGGAAGTATTGTGGAATAATTTTACGTGGCCCGTGGCTCAAATTGCATCAGACCTCAGCGAAATTTTGCAACTATTGCTCCAAGATCGTTAAGGAATTTTATTTGTTAATTTTTAGGATAATTATTGATCTCCTCTCATCCTCTGACACGATGTGTCGCTACTGTTCATGAAACGAAGAGATAGAAATGATGACGTACTTTAAAGATCTGTAACGTAATTCGTTAACGGATTCTTACAGGGTTCGTATTTTAAAATTAAAAGGTACGAAGTTATCCTAGCAGTCTTTATCGAAGTTTTCTGAATATTTTCCTTCAGTCACTGTGGATTGATGTACCTGTAAGCCACGCGCGGCTTAGCCGTCGCCCTGATGATAGAGGCAACAAGTATCCCCGAAACGTCTTTCAGATCCTACTAGG